TATCCCAAACTGTACGTCTGTCTTCTTGGCCATCAACTAGTTTTTATTATTATTATTATTTTTTTTTGCTAGTAGGTCATCAACTAGTTCAACAGTTCTTTTCTAATTAGTTCTTCGTTTGTTAAGTTTTCGGTCTTCTAGATTACTCATAAGAGCTAAATTCTTATAGATTAAAAATAAATTATGTGATATTCGGCCAACTGTTATAACCCTTCTGATCATGTACTAAACTACAAGTTATGTTTTAGAAAGGTATTAAAAATTTACGAGTGAGATAATTTATGCAAGATTCTTGTGTGTTAGATTAAAAATAAAACACACGATTAAGGATTAATCAAATAATCATCTTTAGAAGAAAAAAAAAAAGAAAAGAGAATCCCACAAATGGTGTTAAAGTTTACCCTCAATCTCACTTTGGTTCGTGACTTTTAAAATGTCTCATAGTTAGGTCCTGAATTTTTATTTTATTTCAGTTTTGATCCTTCTATTATCTAGGTGTTAAATATTCAATAGAATCTATATAAATTAGAGACTAAAATTGAAAACAGTTAAATATTATAGACTATTTGTGAAAATTAACTTTTGTTGTTTGTATTTTTTTAGGCCCTTAGCTCTAGATGTTTCTAATTTTAGGGCTCGTTTAATTCGCTGATTTGAGTTTTTAATTCGAGTTGAGATGTGACTTTATGTGAGAATTTTTTACTGTGACCAAAAAGTTAGATGTGACTGTTTCTGAGAGTTTTTACTGTAACAAAACTAGAATTCTAAACTCGAATCGGTGAAATGAATGAGGCCCTAGTTTCTAAATTTACACAAATTCTATCAAATATTTAACACTTAATTAACGGAATGATTGAAATTGAAATAAAATAAAATCTCATGGACTAAATATGAGACGTTTTAAAAGTTAGAATTGGATTGAGGTTCAGTTTCCTTATTCGAGTTTTTAATTTGAGTTGAGATGTGACTTTATATGAGAGCTTTTTACTGTAATAAAAAAGTTAAATGTAAATATTTTTAAGAACTTTTTACTGTAGTAAAACTTAAGGGATGTTTATTTTATGTATTTGTCACTGATTCTAAATCATTATTTATAGTTCTCTATAATATTTTTTTCTTATAAAAAATATATATAAAATGAGAATAATTTTAAATTTATAAACTAAATATCTACTTAAATTTTAAATTTAAATCGGTAGAATGAACGAACTTAAATTTCTGACTATTTATGAAATTAACAAAGGAAAAAAAATAAAGCACACCCAACAACACTTTTTGAGGGGATGTCAAAATCACCTTGACTTTTCTTCACCAAGGACCCGCATTTTTGAGCACACAGATTTTTTGACTCGCCTACTGAAAATTTAGACTGATTTTTCATTCTTGGTCTTGGAGTTAGTGACTCAGTAAATTATTAGAAAGAGCGAAGGGAAGCAAAACACAGATCCGAAACAAATCTTCCACACCGTAGAATCAATAAAAATGAAACAATGATGAAAATACTGATATTCTTCCCGTGCCACGTCACAGGAGCAAAATTAGTATTTTATTAATGTAAGTGGACTTCTTTGTGCACCTCAAGGCGCGTGAAAACACCAATCATATTTCATCATCTACTGCTTTCTTCTAGAAAGCCACAGCACCACATAGATTGAACATGCTGAATCTTCTACAAAACTTTTTAAAGATATTAATTTATGTATTTAAAATCATGATTTATAATTATTTTTAATTTATGTGTATTTTTTATAAAAAAATATTATAATAAATAACGAACTATGATCTGAATTATAACACGGATTCTTACTCCAAACGCACTCTACATATTTTAAGCACCGTCTATGATTAGAAAAAAAAAAACACCGTCTATAATCTGTTTACATGTTAATAGAAATTTTAACCAAAAAAAACTACGTGATCGTATTACTTTCGTTCTTTTTTGTTTTTAACAAAAATTTTAATAAAAATAGTTAAGTGAAGCTAATTTGAAAATCACAAATATGTGTTTTTAAAATTGAAAAACAAAATACAAATCATCTTATATTAAGAAGGTATAGATGAGTAATTTTTTTTCTTTACATTTTTAGTACCATTTCTTATTAGTGGAAATGAGATAATATAGGCCTTAATTCTGGCTTTAAAATTTTGGGAAACCATAAATTTCATGTATTTTAATTGCACGATAAAAACACACAATATATCAATATGTATTTAGAATTAAGGATGAAAATATCAGTATCAGTAAAAATATTAGTACTTTAATTTTACAAAAATATCAGAAAAAATATCAATATCAGTGGAAATATCAAAAAAATTTACGAAAATGACAGAAATTTACATTGGAATATATTTTTAGTATTTTTTGATAGCATCAACACTAAAAAGATATATAAATAAACACGTTTTACATTAAAAAATACTTTTTACATATTACATTTCTTAATACAAAAAGGAAGTTTTATGAAGCTCAAACGTAGTCGGGATCATATCTTGATTCAAACAATATTGGTATTACGACATGTTATTTGAATAATATCAAACATACTTATGAACGTGCCACATGAAGGTTTATTGATCATTTTTTACTGTATTTTTATGAATTATAAACTGTGAATTTCCCTAATAATTTGCCTGAGATGGTGCTGGTATATTCGGATGAGGATAATTCAAAATATTTCCATACCCATCATAATTTTTAAAATTATGATTATATGGATAATTAATGTTAGGAGGCTCTTGGAAGAGCTACAATAATTGGAAGCTAAATTCATCACTTGTAAACTAATGAAAAGATTATCTTCATCAGATGTTTGTATTCTTGATATTTCTCACTCTTCTTGCTCGATGACAAAGGAAATAATGCAACAAAACATATATTATGAAGCAAAATTAAAACAAAAAAAAACCTTTAAAATTTTTCATTTCCGATATCACCAAAATTTCTCCAATATTTCTTCAAAATTTTTAATATTCTGTCCTAATTATTCTATATGTAAATTGATATTGATATTTCAACCGATATTTCTAATATAGTGGAAAAAAAATTTAAGACCTTAAAAATGTGGAAATTTTAGAAATTTTGGCGAAATTTATTTCTATGTTTAGAACAGGGAGCAAAATCCTCTTTATATCCATTCAGAAAAACTATATATATATTTATACTAGAGCAATGAAAGCCACGAGCTTAAGTGGAGCGTCCTGTGTTGTAAAATCCCCTTTTGATATCCATTAATATTACACGTGGTGGCCAAAATTGTGAAGCACATTCAAAGTCAACGTTGGCGGCGCGACTCTTCCGTGCTCAATCAACCTGCCTTCTAATAATAACAATAATAATAATAATAATAATAATAATAGAAAAAAAAACTTGCCTTCTAATATAAAATCATTTTATGTCCCTTCTTCCTTTCAACCCAATGTCGACCCTTTTAATCCAATACATGTTTCTGGCTCCTTTTTATTTTGGTGCTACTGCTCATAAATCAGAATGTTTTCCCAGTTGCACTTTCCATCACATTTCCTATCGATTTACATTTGTGGTATGATATCTCCATTTGTAGGATGCTTTTTTTTTTTTTTAAATGACGAAAAACGATCATAATCATGTTAAAATTAATAAATACAATTATGGTAGAGTATGAAAATATATATTATTGTTGACAATATGAAACAGTTTTTAACCATGCGATATTCATTAAATTTAAGTTCATATGGTTTAATGATCTACAATTATGTCTTAATAGTAAGATTTACTTTATGATAAAAATCAACTTAAATGTAAATAGTATATAGTCAAATTCTATAACTAGAAAAAGTAAAACTGGCCTATCAGCAATAGGCAGTTTTAAATTTTATTGTCCTGGTTTTAACAATTTGGAATAATCATACACGAAGCAAAAATAAAACCTCTTGTCCTTATGATCAACAATACAAAATAATCATACTCTAAGCAAAAATAAAAGTAAACATCACTTTGACATACAATGCAATAATATGAGAATTCTCTTATAAGATATAAAAATGACATTTTGCTAGTAGGGTGAAAATAACTATAAAATTCTGTCAAATTTGCGTACTTTTAAAAATTAAACAAGTTAGTATTAGTGTTCCTTATCACATTATAAATTTCCATAAGAAAGATAATGTGAGCATAAGGTTTTAAAAATATATTCGGCTGAAGTAGACTTAGAATAACAAAACTAACTGAGTAAACAAAACCATTTTTTTTTTTTTAAAATGCGAGAATAATCCAAAAATAACCTCTCATTCTTTGTTTGGCTACTAAATTTTTTGTTTTAAAAAATAACTAACATTGCATAAATAAATTTTTTTTTCTTCTCAAATCTCAAATTTTAAACTACCATAAAAATTTATCATTTTATTGAAGATACTATAGTGCTTCAATTTTACAATAGAAAAAACCTTTAATTTTATTGTTAAAAACACTAGAATTTTTTTTTTTAAATTCTACACACCTTACAATAATATTGTTCAATGTCAATTAAAATATTTATCCGATTTTGTATATTAATTGATGTGATATAATAGTATTTAAGAAATATTTAGATAAGAATAAAAAAAGAAGAATTTCTTTAATGTTTTCTCTTTTTAAGAATACGATGTTTTTTATTTATTAATTATTAAATTTATATTATTTTTTTAATTTAATTTATTTTTAATTAAATTTAATATAAATGTAATGACTAATAAATAAAGAATATTGGTGTTATGAAAAAAAAGAAAGAACACCAATAAAATCCTTAAAAAAGACGTGAGTGGAATCCTTATTTCTTACCATGTAGAAACATTCACATTATTGAAGTTTCAAATTACCGTTGAAAGATAAAATAACCTCCAAGGTGGGGTCACTTCGTACAGAAAATAAAAACGTTTTGGAACCAATTCCAAACGCACCCCTTATTTCTTACCATGTAGAAACATTCACATTATTGAAGTTCCAAATTACCGTTGAAAGATAAAATAACCTCCAAGGTGGGGTCAGTTCCACACTATTGAGTTTATGCACCTAGACACACCTCCGATAAAATGGCAGTATCTCCCAAAGTCTTCCTTCGACTCTTCTTCGTCTCCATTTGGTAGACAAGACATGTCGAAAAACTCCATCCTCCACGACATGTCGTCCGCCGCAAATTCCCGGCGCATCACGGCGGCTCTCTCCCTCCTCTGTTTCCTCTCCCTCTTCTCCTCAACCAAATCCGACGACCTCCAAATTCTCCTCAAACTCAAATCCTCCCTCCAAAGCCCCAGCACCGAAAACATCTTCTCCTCATGGGACGCCACAAACTCCGCTTGCAACTTCTTCGGTATCGCCTGCAACTCCGATGGTTCGGTCAGCGAAATCGAGCTCTCGCATCAGAATCTCTCCGGGGTTCTCCCGTTCGACACGATATGCGAGCTCTCGTCTCTTGAAAAGCTCTCTCTCGGGTTCAATTTCTTGCACGGCAAGGTAACGGAGGATTTGAGAAACTGCTCGAAATTGAAGTACTTGGATTTGGGAAACAATCTTTTCTCTGGCTCTGTTCCTGATATATCTCTCCTGAGTGTTTTGGAGTATCTGTATTTGAACAAGAGCGGATTTTCCGGGACTTTCCCGTGGAAATCGCTTACGAACATGTCGGGACTAATTCGGCTGAGCTTAGGAGATAACATTTTCGATCCAACTCCTTTTCCGAAAGAGGTTATCGGGTTGAAAAAGCTGGATTGGCTTTACCTCTCGAATTGCAGCATCGAAGGGGAAATCCCGGCGGAAATCGGAGACCTTGTGGAGCTTACAGACTTGGAGCTTTCCTTTAACAACATCACCGGCGAGATTCCGACGGAGATTGGGAAGCTTACAAAGCTATGGCAGCTCGAGCTTTACAGCAACGGGTTGACCGGGAAGCTTCCGGTGGGGATGAGGAATCTCACGAGGCTCGAGAAATTCGACGCCTCGATGAACAATCTGGAAGGCGATTTGTCGGAGCTGAGATTCTTGACGAATTTGGTTTCTCTGCAGCTGTTCGAGAACAACTTCTCCGGTGAGGTCCCGGCCGAGTTCGGAGAGTTTAAGAAGCTCGTGAATTTGTCTCTGTACACGAACAAGCTGACGGGGAGTCTTCCTCAGAAGCTGGGATCGTGGGCGGAATTCGGTTTCATCGACGTTTCGGAGAATTTCTTAACCGGTCCGATCCCTCCGGACATGTGCAAGAGAGGGACGATGAACATGCTTTTGATTCTTCAGAACAACTTCACTGGAGAAATTCCCGAAAGCTACGGGAATTGTCCGACTCTGCTTCGTTTCAGGGTCAGCAACAACTCGCTCTCCGGCGTCGTCCCCGCCCGGATCTGGGGGCTGCCGGCGGTGAACATAATCGACCTCGAATTCAATAACTTCGAGGGCCCGATCACCTCTGACATCGAAAACGCGAAGGGCCTAGCGCAATTATTCGTTGGAAACAACCGCCTCATCGGAGAATTACCGGCGGAAATCTCGGGAGCCTCAGCGCTGGTCTCGGTTCGGCTCAATGATAACCGTTTCTCGGGGAAAATTCCGGCGAGTATCGGAGAATTGAAGCATCTGGGGACTCTCCATTTGGAGAACAACATGTTCTCCGGCTCAATCCCGAGCTCATTAGGCTCCTGCGTCTCTCTCAACGACATTGACATGGCGAGCAATTCTCTCTCCGGAAAAATTCCTTCGTCTTTAGGCTCTCTACCAAGTCTCAACGCTCTCGATTTATCCGACAACCAACTCTCCGGTCGAATTCCGCAGAGTTTGGCCTCCGTTAAGCTAAGCCTTCTTGATTTATCTCACAACAAACTCTCCGGCAGAATACCGCAGTCTCTCTCCATCGCGGCCTATAACGGAAGCTTCGAAGGAAACCCCGGGCTCTGCAGCGTAGAAATCAGCTCGTTCCGGCGATGTTCTTCGGGTTCGGGCTTGTCCAAGGAAGCCCGTACGCTGCTCATTTGTTTTGCCGTAGGTTCGGCGATATTAGCATTGTCGCTTGTTTGTTTCTCGTACTTAAAGAAGAGAGAAAATGATGACAAAGAGCGGTCTTTGAAGGAAGAATCTTGGGACGTGAAATCATTCCATGTTTTGACGTTTACGGAGGATGATATTCTTGATTCCATAAAGCAAGAGAATCTGATTGGAAAAGGAGGCTCAGGGAATGTTTACAGAGTGGAAGCCTCTAATGGCAAAGAAGTTGCCGTGAAGCACATATGGACTAACGTTGACTCGAAATTCGGCCGCAAAAAGGCCCGGACCACGACTCCGATGCTCGGGAAGGGCGGCAGGCAGTCGAAGGAGTTTGATGCCGAGGTTAGGACTCTGAGCTCAATTAGGCATGTGAACGTGGTGAAGCTGTATTGTAGTATTACTAGTGAGGACTCTAGCTTGTTGGTCTATGAGTTCTTGCCTAATGGGAGCTTGTGGGACCGCCTTCACGGCTGCCAGAAGATGAAGCTGGATTGGAACTCGCGGTATGAGATATCGGTGGGGGCGGCGAAGGGGTTGGAGTATCTTCACCACGGCTGCGACCGGCCGGTGATTCACCGGGACGTTAAGTCGAGTAACATTTTGTTGGATGAGTTTTTGAAGCCTAGGATTGCTGATTTTGGACTTGCCAAGATGGTTCAGGCTAACAATAACGGAGGCCAAAATTCCACTCATGTCATTGCAGGAACTCATGGATACATTGCTCCTGGTTAGTTATTACTACATCACTTTAATTATTATTATTATTATTTTTTATTTTTTGAAGAAATTACTAATTAATTAGAATCAACTGTTTACATGTTTTTGTGCTTTTGACTATGCAGAATACGGATACACCTACAAGGTTAACGAGAAGAGCGATGTTTACAGCTTTGGAGTTGTGCTAATGGAGCTAGTGACAGGAAAAAGGCCAATAGAGCCAGAGTTTGGAGAGAACAAGGACATAGTGAGCTGGGTTTTTAGCAACCTAAAGAGCAGAGAAAGCGTGTTGAATTTAGTGGACCAAGATATTCCAGAGGCTCTTAAGGGAGAAGCCATAAAAGTACTGAGAATTGCAGTTCTCTGCACAGATAGGCTTCCTGAGATGAGACCCACCATGAGAAGTGTGGTCCAGATGCTTGAAGAAGCCGAGCCTTGTGAGTTGGTGGAGATTATAGTCACCAAAGATGGCGGTGCTAGCAAGAAAATGGAAGCCTTTGATAAGAATAAGTTGGATCCGGAATTTTAATTAATCTTATTGAAATGGGATCTTGTTAAGGTTCAAGAATTAATGATTAAATCCCACGTTTCTAGTCATGTATCATTATGTACTATTTTGTAGTGTGTGTAGATGAAATAACGTGTAGTGTTAATGTATTCTGCTGACAACATAGAGGCAGATTCCTTTCTGTACCATATTTTAGCGATGATGATGAAAATGTCTACCCTATTCCTTTCCACATATACATATTTGTAGTTCAAATTTCAACATTTCAAATAATAAAGAGAAGCGATCTGTGCTTCTTCTTTTTTTTTTTTTTCTTTTTTTTTTTTTCATTTTTCATCTTGTGACAAGTAACGCGTTTCTTAAAAAACTTTTTTAATAATTTTATTTTATCATTCAATAACTGTAAATGCGTTCAAATAATAATAATAATAATAATAATAATAATAGTGGGATATTTTGTAGTTCCACCGCAATTGTGGGCTAAAGTGCCTGTCTTTGTTCTGAATCATTCATGTCCTGCCAAGTGAAGAAAAGAAGAGTAGATTTGCTTACTTGGACATAAAACCACCAATTTTACACGCAAAGCACAGTACGCCAAAGATCACAACCAACACCAAATAGTAATTTAAAACACAAATAAGTAACTTATTAAGGTGGCAAAGAATAAGCATGTTCCCCGCCGTAATTCACATTACTGATCAAAGTTTTAAGGTATCACCAAAATAAAACATTAGAATATTCCTTCTTAAAACTAGTATAGAATTCCATTCATTCATTTTCACTCTACTATTCATTGAAAAATCTTGTTTCTATCCGGGATTGGTTATATTTTGTCGGACTGATAACTAATTAGATGATTACATAAAACCCATCTTGTCAGTAAATCTACCAGCAACAACAAACTCCAAGAGATATATATTTGAGACTCCCAAGGAAGAGATATGAGATATACATATATGGCCTTATACATGTACATACATACATATATATATATATATATAGCTGTACTGTGTACTGTTTTTAAGTGGTTGGGTTAGTTTGGTACGTACTCCTAGTCCTAGAACATGCTTTTGTTTTGGTTAGCGTACATAATATTTGTCACCATTTATATTCAATAATGAAAATTAGTGAGCTGTGATCCGGTCAAGAGCAGGCTGAGGAAACCCACCCCACACACACAGGTTGTTCTAGAAAAGCCAATAAATAAATAAATAAATATGGGGCAGTTGGGAATACCATTCATTATTTCAATTCTTTTTTCTTTTTTCTTTTTTTTCCCCCCTAAATCAGTATTTCGATTGCTGTTGGGTTCTAATTTGGTTCGGGGGCTATATAGGTGAGGTATCAGCTAAACGAAGACTCATAGAAGCAACATTTTCAACAAGCTAAGCTGTTTTATAAATTTATAATGTATGAATGATAATAAACGTGCCAATTTATTCAACCAAATTTGACACCAGGTCCAATCTTCCACATCTTTTTCTTCACCTGTAGAAACATTCAAATATTATTTCTATTCGACTTGTTTTTGGCCGTTGGTGCCAATGAGGGGTAAATGTGTGCACAGTAAGGCTTCTTTAGGCTTAATTCATTTAACCGATTTGAGTTTTCAATTTTAATTTTGCTATAGTTACAAATTTTCATAAAAAGTTTTATCTAATTTTTTTGCTACAATTAAAAACACTTACATAAAGTCACATATAAGTTCGAATTGAAAACTCGAATCGACAACCGAACGAGGCCTTAGCCTCTCACAGCTTTTTTTATTATTATTATTTTTGCTAGAATACAATTTTTCACTTAGTGGGGTCCATTTATGGACCATAGCATTACCTTCTCTTGAAGACGTTTGTGGTCGATGTGTCCGTAGGTTTTGTGAGTTCTTATGTGTGTTTCTACAATCTTTTATTTTGAGTGAAACTACAACTAATTTGCTGAACCAACCCAACTTACCTGAGGGTGGGCAATCCCTGGGGCCTTCTGCAATGTCTCTCCAATACTTAAAGCCCATCAAGAAGAATCCAACAAATTTATCTAGCTATTGACTCCTATTTTAATGAGCACGTCAAGAAAAGGACAGCGTTCAACCCATCTATCTCTCTCTCTCTCTCTCTCTCTCTCTCTCTTTGAGAAATAGTAGAAAATATGTCAATATAAATAGCTTAAAAAAATATATAGGTAAATTTTTAATTATAAAAATTAATAGGTCATAACTTGTCAAGTTATGGTTCATAATCAGAAAAGTTATGGATAAACTTGTCAAATTATGGTTCATAGCTAGACAAGTTATGGATAATAATTTGTCAAGTTATGGTTCATAACCAGACTAATTATAGACGGAAACAGTAATATAGCCTATTTATTAACTTATGTAAACTATTGACCTATTAATTTTAATTTATCTCAAGTTTTGACCTATTTTCCTCTTTCCCCCCTTTTTTTTTTTTTTTTTTTTACCTACAGACAAGACAACAGTTTATATGATAAACTTAGAGAATTAGGGTGGGTATTATGTATTAGGTTGCTATTTTTATCAAGTAATAGGTACCATTAACATTTTATTTAGTAAATAGAACGCCTTTCGTTTTTCTTTATTGTTTATTTATTTGATTTCATCGTGTTCTACTTTTTTTTTGTTATATTAAATTATCTCAAAACACTTTCACAGTCACCCAGCGGATGATTTAAGTTTTCGTATGTATTTTCTCAGATTACTCAGGTCAACGGACAGATGAATGGCGTGATCCATTTTAAAAGGGGAGAGAAAATGAGACAAATATTTTTTAGAGTGCATTACTATTTATATCTTTTATTCTTGATTAATATCATTTTTAGTTCTAATTAACCAAAAGGGTAGTAATCAAGAGTAAGGAGTAAAAATTTAAATCTATGCACTCTAAAAGTAAGTTCAAAAATTTTCTTTATATATTGTAGAAAATAGGCCTCCATTTAAATTTTACGTTAGTAAATAACTAATTCACCAATGTATATATGGATGAGAATCTTACCCGTGGGTATTATATGGAGTGTGGGCGGTTTGGGGTTAGAATTAACTTCCGAGTTGGGGATGGGGCGAGGGAATCTCCCCCGTCTCCAACCTCGATCCGACTATATATACTTTTAGTTTATATATATATATATATATATTATATTATGGATTGTTGGAATTTAAATTTTGTTTTCGGCTTATTTTTATGAGATATTAATGAGTACGTTGTCAAATTTTATAATCAACTTAATGAAGTTTGCTTTGTGTGATGTTACCCGAATTTTTTAATTTTTCTTTCTTAATGGGTAAATGAGTAAGGTATGGGGATAGTTTCCTTAATGGGGATTTCCCGACCCCGACCCCGTCCAAAATTAGAGAGTATGGAGGTGGGTATGAGGGACAAACTAGGAGTAGGGTATAGGGGTTGGGGGAGCATACCTGGTCCCACCCCGCCCAATTCCCATCCCTAAATTTATAGAAGTTAATACGCCTTTTAATGTTTTGAATTTCTCATTTTTCAATTTTGTCATTTTTTTTCCTTTTTTCCTATTTCCTTCTAGATCTCATTTTCTCGATTTTCTCTCTATTCATCATTTGTGGGTCTGCTCTTCTCTCTCTCATTGCCAGTTGTAAATCTAGGATTTACCATCAAAATATAATTTTTATTTCTTCATAAATCTTGAATTTACATGATAAATTTAGAACTTTTCTAATATATGATAAATATTTTTTAGTTTTACTCATAAATCTAGAATTATTGTACGGTAATCTAAAATTTAACATCAGAACACATATTGTGTTATTCGTAAATCTTAGATTTACACTTTCTATAATTTACTATCAGAACACAGTTTATGTTCCTTCATAAGTCTTGGATTTACACAGTAAATTGAGGATTTATGGTTACTGGTTAATTTAAATTTATTAATATGAGATAAACATTTTTTAGTTTTGCTCATACATCTAAATTTTATCGTATAGTCAGAATTTATTATCAAAACATAGATTGTGTTATTCGTAAATCCTGAATTTACAATGTAAATCCAAGATTTATCATCAGAATAAAATTTCTCTTCCTTCATAATCCTGGATTTACAAGGTAAATATAGGATTTACTATCAAAACACATATTATGTTTATTCATAAATTTTGAATCTAGTGTAGAGAGTGCGAAGAAAGCCAAAGTAAATTTTAGAATTTTCTTTTCTTTTTTAATTAAGAGCATTTTTAGAATATTAATTTAGTATAAATATGAATTTAAACCTAGTAGGCTTATTTACTTACTAATTATAAACCTTAGCCTATTTATTTTTATTAAAAGCCTATTTCCTGCAACCTCCCTTTTAAAAGCTCAATGAAGAATAAAACGCCACCCAATTTGAAAAACGGCACAATGTTTTCCTTTTAAGAAGAAAACGACACAATGTTTTGAAAAGTGGAAAAGTAACCATTTTTAGACTTTTTGGTTAATGTTATTTCGCCGATTGTTAAATTTTGAAGATTGAGCTCATCGTTGGAAGCGTTGAATTTGAAAAGGTGCTTCTGGAATTAATCCGAAAATAAGCGACAACCAGATACGCACAACGAGTAACGACATAAAAAATGACGCGATAATATAACAAATAAACGATAACAAGTAAAAACGACATGGTGGATGACGCCGACAAATTGAAAACGACAAAAAGAAAACAATACGACATATTGATCGACAATGGAAATTAAACGACGATAAAAAATGAATATTACAATGACAGATATGGACAAAAGTCTGGTAAGAGTAGAGGCCGGGCCGGGCCGGCCCTAAAAGGGAGAGAGTCAGCCCAACCCGATCCTAAGTCCAAAGATTTAGGCCCAGCCCAACTCAAAATTTTATAAGGTATTTTTAAAAAAATCTTTAAAAATATGATGTTTGGGCCGGCCGGGCCCAACCCTAAAGGAGAGAGGGACGGTCCGGCCCAGCTCTAAGTCCAACAATAGCGGGCTTCAAGCCGGCCCGTTTAGCCCAGTCCAAACTTATAGCTCTAAGTAAGATACTAACACGACAGTGAATAACAACAAAGTGAAAAACAACCAAAAAAAAATGAAAAAATATCTATCGGAAGGAAGATGACATGATAAAACGATGGTAGGAAGAAGTCAAAAAAAAAAAAAAAAACTTTTATAAAGCCCACAAAACCATAATTCATTTTCATGAATTTATGTTACTTTTTCTCGAAAGCAAAATGAGATGTGATTCAGTCTTATAAAAAAAAAATAATGAGATGGATTTGCACCTCTCGAGACACTTATTTAGATCTCATTATATCTATCACTTCATTATATCTATGAACAATAATATTTGCTGAGTCGCAGCAACGCTACTATATATGCATATATTATAAGAATAAATCCACTTTGTACACTGCTGATAATGTGGATTTTCCACGTCAAAGTGATGGTTAACGCTACTAGTGTAAATTTCTATCATTAACACTGAAAATTCGCCCAAACCTGCGTGAACTTTCCGCATTGCACAAAAAGAAATCAAATATTGCTCTTGTATCTGTTTAGTCATATATATTTGACATGCCATTCCCTAATATTCTTATTCGTTTCTTAATCCTATTCTTTAAAATAAATAAATAAGTACATAAATTAATGATCTCCTCCATGATCATACATAAGAACAAAAATAGTATAATCCAAGCTAATCCCACATTCTACATGTTTATGCTTCATGACGTACGCTTTTATCATTCAATTAGGTTTACTTGCTATATAGCTAGCATAAATTGATAAGATAAACGATATAATGTTAGTAAAAGAAAACCACTAAACAACTTTTTTTTTTTTTTTTTTTTTTTTTTTTTTTTTTTTTTTTACTCGTTAGTCTTATCACCTCTTATGAATGCTGCTTTTACAGTTGGATCATTTCATGATCGATTCTTTGAATGAACGTATTAAGAAACAAATTAAACATAAGTTCTTGTAATTGGGGTTTTACTATTTTTTGTGCACACCTTCGCACGCTCGGACCAGAGAATATATGTGTGTGTGCCAAGTGCCAACTCCAAAAACAGATAACTAATAATAATTACATTGGTGTTACATTGAAAATTAAGATTATGATTATGATCATAGACCCTCCAATGTCCAAAGCAAAACGGCCTCTATTTGTTTAGTTTTGTTTGCGAATCCAATGGAAAGAGACAATAATGCCAAAATAGTATTTGAGGTGAGAATTGATCTTCCAAAGCATTTTTTATTCTAATATTCTATTATACTGGACATTATTCCAATAGGAAAGTGAAGGCACTAATTAACTTACTATGCAACACATCATGGGACGCGGCCTTCCGCAGCATGAAACCGTAGCTCCCAACTATTTCAATTAATTTTGACTGTGTTTTTCGTGCAACTGAGAGAGAATTATTGTTATTTTTGTTTTCTATTCGAAAAAGGGAGATCGTGAGTGTTATGAAACTTTCAAAGCTCGCCATTAAAATATAAATAATAATAAAAAAAAAGACTTGATTCAATCGATATTCGTATGGGTTCAGTTTTTACTCATACATGCTATAGCACATATTTAACACCGCAAAACACATTAATTAATTAAATGAGAATCTTGAATTTTGCAATATTGAAACCCGATGTGCATCACGAGAGAACAAGGAAATGCATCCTTAAAATTTTTTTAATTAAACTTGCATATGATTTTATTACTGAATATGTTTGTCCATCGTGTAATATTAATCTAATGCTTCCTTCCGACGATGAATTTAAACGATGCGCTTAGCTGCTATCATGCGCTGATGACTCATGGCGCTCTTTAGCACATCCAAAAGAAGATGTCGGTTTTAAAGAAAAAAATGGACAAAGGAACCTATAAGAGATTGCCATGTAAGATTTTGAACCAAATTCCAGAGTTTCCAACCAAATCAACATCCAATGCTTTAGAAGAGAGTGGGAATCTTTGCTTTGCACTTCATCATTATCAGTCACGCACACTCACTCGCTCGTATATACAACACCTGTAATTAACAATATTCTCATCATTGATAATGAAATTTTAGCCCTTAATTTTCTTCTGCTGAAGAATGAAATATTAATTTAAGAAAACAAATGAATATTAGCGTAGGAATAGAGATATATATGCATAAAAAATATGTATCCTTATTGAGTCTGTTCTATCATGATCTCTTAATTCTAAATATATATGTTTGTGTATATTTTTTTTCCGCTTGGAATTAATGTCTTGTTTATATACTTTTTAGTTATGTGCCACATTCATACGAAACAAGATCACGATAAAAGGTACATGCGAACAAGAATCTCAAACAATTTATACACTGACAATAAGTCTAAATTATAACTTTCAGGTGAGCAATAATAAAATTAAGGTTTTAAATAATAGTACAAGTGAAATATATGTGTGTGTGTATATATATATGTATGTATTTATGTATGTATGTATCATGCTCACAACGGTTGGGACTTGGGATCCCCTCGAATGCATGGACGCAATAAGTCAGCTCAGTATTTGCAAATTTATCAAATTTAAGGATACATTCATACATACATATACGACATAAGTGTGATATATTTTCATGCGATAATTGTAATTTTTTTTTCTCCTCAGAAAAAAAGTCACAACAAAGAACCTAGTTGAACGATATTGAAGGTGAAAACTTGATTTAGTACCGGACGAACTCGTAAGCACCATGCGGCTGCGAAACGAGCAGTGGAGGCACTGATCGGATGGTACAGAAAGTATGCTTAAAGTACATAAAATAGCAATTAGGATTATCTCCTGGCCAAATATCATGAGTATTTATAACTCATGAGATTAATATCACATTTAATTGATTTTTTCCCAATCCCCGGATCCTTAAACCCGGGACTTAGTTCATACATTGAAAACAACTCACGCACCTCAAATTGATTTTGTTATGAAAAAAAATAGCACTTGTTATAGCATGTATCATTTTATAAAGGAAAAAAAAAAGTTATTTAAATATAGGAAGTATACTTTTAGGGATTTAATCCTTATTTTTTGGCCCATGCTATTTGGACCTTAGTCAAGCATTGATCCAATATAAAATAACAATAAATAATGGTAATACGAATTAATTATGTTCCTGCACGGATTAGTCCGTACAACAAATAAGATTTTGCAAACATAACTAATAGAAATTAGAATACACAATTGTGGTGTTTAACCAAACAGATACAGAGGGATCACATTCCTGTGCCTTATGATATTGTAATCCAGGGTTGATCAATGGAGCACTAATTACATTATTTACATATGTTACGCACTTGCCCTAACTTTATTTTATTTTATTATAAATATATAGATATGGTCCCTACTCAAAGTACCCACAAAAAAAGTTGCAAATTCCCTAAATTTTATAGTGGGATATGATTCCAAAACGTTATCCACCTCCATCCATTCATGAATTGTCTTGCTTTCTAATCTATATATTACTGCTCTCTGCCACTGACCTAATTAAAGAAAAATAATCAATTAACACTAATTAATTATAATACTCTTGTGAATGAAATTCTTGTATATACACATGGCAAACATGTAGAAATTTGTGGAAGAGACGATACTGCAATTTGATTGGCCAATGAAAGGTCAACTCAAGGGTTGTTTGCCACCATATATTTATGCTGTCTTTTCATTCCAAGTTGTTGAACAAATTTGCGGAGACTGGTATGGTGAAAATTGGGTATCAAGTATCAACGAGCAGTGTACTCAAATGGGGGAAAAAAAGAGAAGGCAACTTTATCAAAATAAAGAAATGAATTTAATATGCTGTTCTCACTACTAAATACTACTAAAAGATACAGTTCAAAACTCATTCTGAACAGCAAATATATGTACATATTACACACACTCACAAAATTATATACACGTATATATATATATATACACACACACACACACACCTTATTCCTTGAATATTTATGAGCACTGTAATACTTTAGTCACTTTTTATATTGTTTGAAATATTATTATTTTTAACTCCAGTTTTTTTTATTATATATTATTATTATTTTGATCCTTGCCATAAAATTAACGAGCTGCAATTCCATTAAGATAATCATGTAACTATTGCATAAATTGAAACTTTACAGAAATACTAGTTAATAATAAGTGCTAATGTTATCTTTACTCGGTTAAAAATATTGAAAACTGAATTTTTTTTTTTTACGTAATATTGTATCATTTCGTCAAAATTTTCAACTATTACGCGATATAGATGTGATTTCATGTTAAACTTTAGAAAAATTTTATTAATTTTCGTGTCAAAGATAAAAACGATCAAAAAAATAAGTTTAAGGAGTGATCTTAAAAAATTAGTTTAGATAATAAAGTTTTAAAATGTTCGTACTTCAAGGTTTAACCATGCTATTCAATCAAAAAGTATGTTTATATATATATATATATATATATATAAAGTTAATTATGCGGACGCAATGTGTAGGGCCCATGCACATCTAGACATGCCCAAGAATAAAATACGCACACCACACTTTTTAAATATTTTGGAATGTTTTATACATTGCTTGGTGTATCCAGCCAGTATTTTATTCATAAGGTTTCGTGTGCAAAAAACTAGATAAAACATATACGTATATAAAAAATAAAAACACGTGCTATATGTTTGTATTTGATAATGTTCCTCGATTTGTTAAAGATGATAAAATTTTTTTTTTTTTTTTTTTTTTTGGTAGTTGATGATAGAAAATATTTACTAATAATGTACGCGTTTCTAAATGTTACGTATAAAATACATTACATTCGTATTTTACCTTATTCATCCACCCAAAGTACTAGAATCTCTCCTATATAAGTGTACTTACTTGATTGACTGGACAAATCAAAGACATGGTGATACGAACGAGTATGAGAATGAACAACATCAAGAGGTCCTGACCATGACAAAAGAAAAGAGGGGGAAAAAAGTTGCATGCATGAGGGCGTGTAATATATATATATATATATATATATATATATATCAATATTGATTAGTATCTGATGCATAAAAAAAATAATAATAATAACCACCTCAATTATCAGTATAAAGTAGGGGGCAGAGATGGACGTCATATTCTCTACACAAACTCTACACTAATGGAGTATAAATATAAAGCCTCTTTAGAGAAAGATATAATATGCCTTTCTCTCTTTCTGATATATCTGATCTAGGACTAGTACTGTCACTGCACAAACACACCCAAACTCTCTCAAAACACTTGTATGTTCCCTTTCTTTTTCATCATCATCTAACGGTTCGTCCTCGTCGTTGATATCTATCTAGCTTCCACACCCAAATGATATTCCTCCCAATCACCACATTTATATACTTCTCACCACCTTCCTCTTCTTTAACACAACTTCACCAACAAAAAATTATCAAACACTTATAACCATTCCCCTCTCTCTCTCTCTCTCTCTCTAAGATATATTTTACCACGATGGCTTCAAAATATTCTACTCTCTTGATCATTTTCATTCTCTCATTTCTGTTGTCTAACTTGATCTATCCTTCCGATCAATATTTGCTAACTGGACACAACCAAACTGAGTACTTCGTCCTCATGAAGAAATCCCTCTCCGGCAACGCCATATCCGAGTGGGACGTGATCAACAAGCCTATCTGCAACCTCACTGGGGTGGCCTGCGATGACGGAGGCCTCGTCGTCAGGCTCGACCTCGTCGGTTGGTCTCTATCCGGCCACTTCCCACCCGACATCTGCGCCTACTTACCGGCGTTGCGCGTTCTCCGCCTCGGCCGGAACCGCCTCCTTGGCGAGTTCCCTAACGGCGTCACCAATTGCTCTGTCCTGGAAGAGCTCAACCTCAGCTTCCTCTACCTAGGCGGGACGCTCCCGGACCTGTCGGCGATGAAGTCGCTTAGAATCCTCGACCTATCGTACAATCTCTTTAGGGGAAACTTCCCCATCTCCGTCACCAACCTCTCCAACCTCGAAGTCCTCAACTTCAACGAGAACGGGAACTTCAATCTCTGGAAGCTTCCAGAGAACATATCAGGCCTGACCAAGCTCAAATCAATGTTGCTAATGACCTGCATGGTGTACGGACACATCCCGAGATCTATTGGAAACATGACTTCCCTCGTTGATCTCGAACTAAGCGGGAATTTTCTGGTGGGTCGAATTCCATCCGAGCTCGGACTTCTGAAGAACGTGAGACAGCTTGAGCTTTACTACAATCAGCTCGTGGGAGAAATTCCTCACGAGCTCGGAAACATGACGGCGTTGATTGACCTTGACATGTCGGTCAACCGATTGAATGGGGCGATCCCCGAAACGATATGTCGTTTGCCGAACCTACAGGTTCTCCAGCTCTACAACAACAGCTTGACGGGGGAAATCCCGACCGCCATCGAGGAGTCGACGACGCTGAGCATGCTTTCGCTCTACGACAACTTTCTGACGGGACAAGTGCCGAGAAATCTTGGCCAGTTCTCCCCCATGTTAGTCCTCGATTTGTCCGAGAATAATCTGTCGGGTCCTTTACCCTCCGACGTTTGTAAAGGAGGAAGGTTATTGTACTTTCTCGTCCTGGACAATTCCTTCTCGGGAGAATTGCCTCAGAGTTATGGGAAATGTCAGTCTCTCTTAAGATTCCGGGTTAGTAATAACCATCTAGAGGGCTCAATTCCCGAGGGACTTCTTGGTCTTTCTCATGTCTCGATTATCGATCTGGGTTACAACAATTTAAGCGGTCCGATTGGTGATTCCATTGGGAGAGCGAGAAACTTGTCGGAGCTGTTCATTCAGAGCAATAGAATTTCAGGAGTTTTGCCGTCTGCAATCTCTAGAGCGACCAATTTGGTGAAGATTGATCTGAGCAATAATCTCATATCGGGCCCAATACCTTCCGAGATTGGGAACCTGAAGAAGCTGAACTTGCTTCTTCTGCAAGGCAACAGGTTGAATTCGTCAATTCCGGTATCTCTATCTTGGTTGAAATCCCTGAACGTTCTCGATCTTTCTAAAAATCTCCTTACCGGAAACATCCCGGAGAGCCTCTGTGATCTGTTGCCAAATTCGATCAACTTCACCAACAACATGCTCTCCGGCCCCATACCTCTGTGTTTGATCAAAGGAGGGTTGGTGGAGAGCTTTTCAAAGAACCCAAACCTCTGCGTGTCGCCGGACGTCAAAGCCTCGGACAAAAATAATAATTTCCCGGTGTGTTCGAAACCTTACAATTATCCGAAGAAGCTGAACTCGGTTTGGGCTATCGCCATCTCGCTGGTGATCATCCTCGTCGGAGCAGTCCTTTTTCTAAAACGTCGGTTCGGTAAGGATCAAAAGAAAGTGGTCGAACACGACGAGACTCTCTCGTCCTACTTCTCCTACGAAATGAAGAGCTTCCATCGGATAAGCTTGGACCCGCGGGAGATCATTGAGGCCATGGTGGACAAGAACATCGTCGGGCATGGCGGGTCGGGGACGGTGTACAAGATCGAGCTGAACAACAAGGAAGTGGTGGCGGTGAAGAGGCTGTGGAGCAAAGAGTTTGGGAAAGATCATTTGTGCTCGGATCACGATGATCAGCTGGCGTTGGACAAGGAATTAAAGACGGAGGTGGAGACTTTGGGAAGTATAAGGCACAAGAACATCGTCAAATTGTACAGTTACTTCTCGAGTTCGGATTGTAGTCTTCTGGTTTATGAGTATATGCCGAATGGGAATCTGTGGGACGCTCT